CAGCTGTTTCAATTTTGACATGTGTAATATGTGCCCCAACCATAATTTGAAATTTTACCTGAGAGTCGACGATTGTTAAAATGTGTTTCGTTGTTTAACTATAATAATATAACATTGAGGTTTAAATATAGCGCCATCTACCTCAATGAAATTTCTAAGAGTCATTGATTATCCCCCTTTATCAAACTAAAATTTATGTCTAGTTCTAGTTCTTCTTCCTCCTCTACAGATCTACAGAAAAGTCTCACTGAATGAAAATTCACGTGACTTATATGCTCAAATTCCCATTAAAGGTTTATTTTCTAACAAAATGTTTACACCATATTGGAACACCATAAACTTAAAGATACCGGGTTCACTATACATTAACATTATATTATAGCAGAGACATTTTATTAACGGATTTGTATTATAGTGAAAGCTTAATTTTATGCCTGCCATAGCTTAGTTTTAAAGGTTTCACCTTAGTCTCTGTAAAATCTATTGTAGTTTACAAGAAACACATTACATTTAATGTACTTCAGTGAACTTTAAAAAAAAATATATTGTCTAGTAGTAATTAGTATTGTTATTATTGTTGTCTGGCTTTGTTTTTAAGCTACAAACAAATGCTACAAAACAAAACCCTTACAGATTGCATAGCAATTGTTATTAGTTTAATAAATTAAAACCACATTTCTCATGATTCTAATTAGCAAGAGATATTAACAATGCGGCAGTGACGTGATGTCTTTTAACACTTTGTGACAGCGTTAAAAAAGGGCAAATCGTAATATCAATTATGATACACTTTAATGGAGATAAAGGTGAGGTGGGGGTCGGGTCACAGTTATGTGATAATGTAGTTTGTTGTTGTAGAGGGCGGTGGTCTAGCAAAGCTGGGGGCAAGGGATCAGAAACGGTCGGTAAGTAATGACAGACTTGCTCTTTGAAAGCTAGGCAATGACTGATCGACCTTCGGATGCCACGGGTAGCCAATCAATGCGGACCCAGCGAAAAACGACCGATCAGTACGATATATATATAATATATATATATATATATATATATATATATATATATATATATATATATATATATATATATATATATATATATATATATCAGACATTTTAAAATTACTTTTCCAGACCAGACGTTCAATGTGGTATAGATGATGTAGAATTATTCTGTTAATTCTGTATTACTGGTAGTGTAGTATTAACGCGAGACAAGATTTTAGTACTCTCTGTCTCTCAATAGCCTGCTTGCGGAGAGCATGCTACAACTAAAGATAGTTTTATTTAAACGCTAGACATGGTTTTCATTTTCTAATCTGAGGTTTCAAAAAACAAATCATCAAGGCATGAAATGTTAGGTTCTGTCTGTTGGTTACGTAAGGTAAAAGTCCACGTCCAAATTGACATGGTAAAAAATGTCTATGATATTATGTATTATCAATACTCTAATTATCTAAAATAATTTTTTACAATAATAATTTTGATGGGAGATTATTCATTTCATTCATATACCGTATACATAATATTAACCACAAAATTTAACCGTCTTATATTATAGCATCTTGTTTTAAAAATCAGCTTCTTATACAACCCATTAAAGGTATTAAACTACATAGGGGACTCCATTGAATAAAACTGTTCACGTATTTACTCAAAACTATCTACCCTTGACTCAGTTTAGATAGTTTATTATTAATTAAGCAAATGCTACATTCTATAAAAAATTAAATTATAAAATCTTTGTGTATAACGTCATTTATTATTATAAGGATTAACTAAAGAATAAATAATTATGATCTTTCAAAATAATTATTTAATTTTAAATGTACTAAATTATCAAAACCATAAAATTTTAGCAACAGGCGATAGACTGGACGCAGGGCAATACTTAGACGATTTTGCTTTGCGCAGTGGCGGTACCATAGCCAATGAGGTTTTACCGAGGCGTGGTTATTGCTAGTTGAAAACTATTCCCAATACCCCGCACAGACGACCTTCACTAGTCGGCTCGTGCAATTTTTAACGGCTTCCTCTGGAGTCTTCATTTAAATTAAAAAGAATGGATCGCCTAAAAATACTCGCCTAAAAAACCACTTCCTCTCTTCCCTCACCGGTGTGTTGAAAGAGGATGTGACAAACGGATTGTTCAAAAAATTAATAAGATGCGAACCGGACATTTGCGCACTATTAAACGACTTTCTGTGGAGATTTTTTATTCCTTATTTAAAGGTACTAACCAAACTTACGACCTCATTTAAATACAGTAAACTGTTTAAAAATCTTATAAATAGCGATGAGTTGAATGATAAACAGCCAGACAATTAATACTAATAGTTTCGCTGTCTCTCTATGTATCTATCTATCTATCTGTCTGACAAGAACGCTCTAGAGAAAACACAAGGAAAATAAAAACAGGCATAGTAATTCGAAAAAACGAAGTATGACGTCGACACATTTAGCACAGAGTAGAAAATAATCTCAAGCCGGATAGTGCACACATTAATATGACGTCATTGATTCTCGAGTAAACATTGAATAAAAAGGCAATTTTGTCTAATCTAAGTGGCTTGCGTGAAGAGTTTCTTTCATACAATTCTTCGGGTAGGGGCGAAGCCCCACCCCCGCGTAAGAACGTCTGAGCGCCCCCCCCCCCTCCCCAACTCAAAAGAAATTTCCTCATCGATACTCTATAATAAAATTACCGCCTAAATTAATGTGTCTAATCTAAAAAGTGGTTTTCTTGCAATTTCTTTAATGCAATTCTTCGCGTAGTGGCTATGCGCGACACCAGTGTTTCTTTCAGACTTTTTCCTCCACGGAGAGGGGTGAGGGTACTTGAAATTTTCGGGGGCGGGGGTAGAATTTTCGGGGAGGGGCGGACACTGGAAAAAAGTATATAATTATATTTCGTTGAATGGGACGGTAGACATGGTTTTTTTAGGGGGGTGGGGGGGGGGTGTGGGGTGGGGTGGGGTGTGTGGGGGGGGGGGGGGGGGGGTGGGGTGGTTTTAATTTAGACTTTTTCCTCCCCGGAGAGGGTTGGGGGTACTTGAAATTTTCGGTGGCGGGGGTAGAATTTTCGGGGAGGGGGCGGACACTGGAAAAAGTATATAATTATATTTCGTTGAATGGGACGGTATACATGTTTTTTGGGGTGTGGGGGGTGGGGGGGGGGGGGTGGGGGGGGGGTGGGGGGGTGGTGTGTGGGTGGGGTGGGGGGTGGTGTGTGTGGGGGTGTGGGGTGGGTGGGGGGTGTGGGGGTGTGTGTGTGGGGGGGTGGTTTTAGTTTAGAGAAAAGAGACAGCACTATCAGCCTAGCGCCCGGTGTATCCTTCCTCAACGGGCCATTTTTCTCGTATATTAATACTAATAGTTTCGCTGTCTGTGTATCTATCTATCTGTGTATCTATCTATCTATGTATCTGACAAGAACGCTCTATAGAAAACACAAGGAAATTAAAAAACATGCATAGTAATTCGAAAAACGAAGTAATGACGCGGTCACATTTAGCATAGAGTAGAAATAATCTCAAGCCGGAGAGTGCACACAGTAATATGACGTCATTGATTCTCGAGTAAACATTGAATAAAAAGGCAATTTTGTCTAATCTAAATGGTTTGCTGTGAAGAGTTTCTTGCACACAATTCTTCGGGTAGAGTAGAAAATAATCTCAAGCCGGAGAGTGCACACAGTAATATGACGTCATTGATTCTCGAGTAAACATTGAATAAAAAGGCAATTTTGTCTAATCTAAATGGTTTGCTGTGATGAGTTTCTTGCACACAATTCTTCGGGTAGGGGCGAAGCCCCATCCCCGCTTAAGAACATCTAAGCCCCCCCCTCCCCAACTCAAAAGAAATTTCCTCATCGATACTCTATAATAAAATTACCGCCTAATTACTGTGTCTAATCTAAAAAGTGGTTTTCTTGCAATTTCTTTAATGCAATTCTTCGGGTAGTGGCTAAGCGCGACACCAGTGTTTCTTTCAGACTTTTTCCTCCCCGGAGAGGGGTGGGGGGGTACTTGAAATTTTCGGGGGCGGGGGGTAGAATTTTCTGGGAGGGGGCGGACACTGGAAAAAGTATATATTTATATTTCGTTGAATGGGACGGTAGACATGTTTTTTGGGGGGTGGGGGGGGGGGGGTGTGTGTGTGTGGGGGTGGGGTGGTTTTAGTTTAGAGAAAAGAGACAGCACTATCAGCCTAGCGCCCGTTGTATCCTTCCATTTTTCTCGTTTATAAAATAATATTGTTTAAGGAAAGCTGTAATGGTGTATGAAAATGCATCACTAACTAGTAGTAATTATAGAGTCTAAGGCAGTGTTTCTTCCAGACTTTTTTTCTCCGGGGGGGGGGGGGCACTTGAAATCTTCGAGGCGGCGGTAAACTTTCTTCGGGGGGGGGCGGACACTGTTAAAAGTATATATTTTCTATATAAATTATATAAATTTCATTTCGTTCGGGGGGACGGTAAAAAAAATTCGGGGGAGAGATGCCTGGAAGAAACTCTGGTCTAAGGGAACAAGCCCTTGTTTAATTTGATATACTGCGGTATGCTAAAATTAAAGCAATCGGCCTAACATTTCAAAACATTTACATTAGGTTAAGTTCACATACTGTTTTTTAAACTCTGCTATTAGAGTGATAGTATGATCAGCCCTATACCACGTCATTTTCGAGGTCAACGTTCAGATTATAGGATTATTGGATTTAGTAGTTGTCGACAATTAAAAATCCACCATTCTTAACTTCTATCTCGTGTTGAATATTTCTTTACTTAAATTTTCTATAGGAAAAGATACACACATTTTGATTTAAACGCTGCGAAAGTAATCAACTGTTCATCTCTACCGATCACTGATTTGATATCGAGAAGTTTCCTAGCTCATTCCTATTTTGGAACTCCCCGAAAATAGGGAATTCCCCCATTTAAAAAACAACTCGATACAGTTTTACAGAAAATGCGAGTCATAACATTTGCCACGTTGTAGGCTATAAATAAGTCAGTTTTGCTCTTTGTTTGGCTCACTTCCGCATTTTGTTACTTCATAGTCGGGAGATTGGCAGTTGGTAGTACTGTTATTTTATATGACTCTAGGAAACTGATAAGCAGGCCACACTCCAAATAAAAAAGGTAACTGACTTGTAATAATAATCATGGGACTTCAACGGATTTAGTTAGGGTTAGAGCCTAGATTAACACAACTACAGTTAGGATAAGATTTGTAAACTATATATATATATATATATATATATATATATATATATATATATATATATATATATATATATATATTATATATATATATATATATATATATATATATATATTATATTTATATTTATATATATATATATGTATATATATATATATATATGTATATATATATATATATATATATATATATATATATATATATATATATATATATATATATATATATATATATATATATATATATATATATATATGTATATATAATTTTTTTTTTGGATCAAACGTTTGATCAAAAATCTTTTTTTTTAAACCTCGGGTTAAGTACCTATCAGAGCTATCACAAAAAATACAACTGTGTAGATATTTCTACAAAGTTTACTTTAGAAGAAGCACAAATGTCACACATATTGTTGCAGAAACAGCCTCTTGCTTTGATCTTGTCCTCAATTAGGCTACCTGGGGTAATTAAAAAGTCTCAAAACGTGTTTTTCTCCACAGAATTACCCTCTCAGTATGTCTGAGCCAGGTCCTAAAGTCTACAAAATTCAGCTCGTGAATGGTGATATTACCCAGCAGAGTGTATGTATATTTATGTCTCATATACAATAATTTTTTTTAATATCTGAGTTGATTCTACAACCCATCAACATAATTAAATTACTTGCCGACACAAGCACTATACATTGATAATAAAATGTAGCAATAAAGTAGACATTCTTGCAATAATTTCTGAATGTTAACATTTTTCTTATTATCTTTCATTAAAGCGACGTCTAGCTTGAAAAATGAAATGGGTGTTTGGGAAAATTCTATGGATTTTTTATTTTACAATATTCCAAGACTATTTTCCTTTGTATAAAAATCCTAGACAATATTCTCTGTACGTGCAGGCTGACGTCATAGTGAGCACAATACACCGAAGTAAAAAACTGTCGGCGTGCATAATCTCACACAACGTGATGAGAAAAGCTGGGACTAGCCTACAGAATGAACTCGATAAGGTAGGTGTGAAGTTATATGGGCCATGCATCTTTCTCAAGCAAAACTTGCCTCACTGTTATTTAATTGTCTAGTTGCTTTACCAGACTTTGTAAGACTAAAGTAAATACAGAGGAGTAGCGAGGGGGGGGGGGGGGTGCGGACCGCACCGGGTAAATTTGAGGAGGGGGATGCAAATCAAAAGTTTGAGTGGGGGGGGATGCAAATCAAAAGTTTGAGGAGGGGGTGCAAATCGAAAGTTTGAGGGGGGGGGGGTGCAAATCGAAAATTTGTAAGTTTGTCCCCGGGAAGGGTCGCTACGCCTCTAGGGGGTGACACCATTCAGTCATTCAGTGTTTCTTCCAGACTTTTTTCTCCGGGGGGGGGGGGGGCACTTGAAATTTTCGGGGGGGGGGGGGGGGGGGGGGGGCGGTAGACTTTCTTCGGGGGGGGGGGGCGGACACTGTTAAAAGTATATATTTTCTATATAAATTATATATTATATTATATATATATTATATATATTTCATTTCGTTCGGGGGGGGGGGGGGGGGGGGGAGGGCGGTAGAATATTTTCGGGGGTGGGGGGGGCTTCCGAAGAGATGCCTGGAAGAAACTCTGACACCATTAAGTGCCGCACCGGGTGACACCCGACCTCGCTACGCCACTGAGTAAATACACCGCATTTAGCAACCGTAAATGTATGAGACACACACAGTGCCGGCGCCAGGCTATTTAGTGCCCTTGGCAAAACTTATTAAATCGCCCCCTTTCACACAAATTAATTGCTAAAACATATGTATAAGAAAACAATTAATTTAGAGTGACATTAATTTATTATCAATTGCATACACCTTATAAGTACACATCTAAATCAAATTCAATTCCAGTTTGCAAGCGTTTCTCATTCTATTGAAATTGTAATCCACGAGTCTACTTTGTACTTTACGACATAGCCCCACACCCCCTTAGAAAATTTCAAGTGCTTATCCCCCCCCCCCCTCCTCCCTACCGGGAGAAAAAAGCATATCAAGTAGTCGAGTTTATCGTAAGTTAGATGATTTCAATTCAGTACGGAACACACGAGAAAGGTATGCGTTCTCTAGTTGAAAATTCTTTAGTTTTTTTAGGAATCCATATTACCAGTCTTTAAGTATTAAAATATAATATTAAATAGGATGGAATTTATAACAACTGTAAACCTTGTTTGTTCAAATAATATTTTTTTAAAATATCTTAATCAATAATTCTAGCAATGTCTAAACAGTTACCCGTGTTTTAATTTTTGAAAGATGTCCCCTTATTTAGGGGATCCAAAAATTTTATTAATGACAAAATAGAAATTACGTTACGATTCGTTGTCATCAAAATTTAATAGAAGTATGTTATAATCAAGCTACCGTTTTTAAACTTTCAAACAAAACCAACAGTTAAGTATTCAATAGGTAAAATATATTGTTTTTACAAGGTTACATAGCTAATATTAAAAATTTGTTGAAAGTATTACTTAAGGAAATTTAGAGAATTTACATGTGTTTTTCAAGCATGTCTTAGTTACACTTGGTTAATTTAGCCATTCTTGTGAAAGTTATGTCCCTTGAATAAAATTTTGGTATTTGGATTTTCAAATGGGAGGTAATTCGTTGCTTAACTTTACTTTCATTTCAAATTCCTGCACCTTAGGTTGACCGCTTACCTATAAATACAAATTTAAGTTATTATTTGCTATTGAAACAATTTAAATATAGAGCAGAAGTTCTAAACAAAATAGTATGGTAGGTTTTTTTAGCATTATCAAGTTGAAAAACAAATACATCTATAGCTGTTGTAGATTGCAATACTTAATGTTAGTAGACATACAGTCTAAGTCGTAAATTAAACATCTAATTAATTGTCTTTTCATACTTTTCACCCTCTCCTAAAGGATTCATATATAACAATTTTAGGCTGGAACTTTTTATTTTTCAAAAAAAAAAATCGTTACATAATCACACAATATAGACATTTTACAATTATAACTAAAGACAGTCAAGCTTAAAACAGGTAAGTTCAAAAACAAAAAAAAATCGTTACATAATAACACACTATAGACATTTTACAATTATAACTAAAGACAGTCAAGCTTAAAACAGGTAAGTTCAAAAACAAACAAAAAATCGTTACATAATCACATAATATAGACATTTTACAATTATAACTAAAGGCAGTCAAGCATAAAACAGGTAAGTTCCGTTTTGGAATTCACCTTGTGAGGACTGCAGAGAGCCCAACACTACAAGAACTTTTTTTACTTTCTCGTATATACGAAGTATAGAGAAAATTGAAAAATTTCGGAGGGGGGAGGGGGGTACTAAAATTTTCGGGGGCCGGGCACTGTTAAATGTATATATTTGTTATATAAATTCCATTTCGTTTGGGGAGGGGGGGAGGGGGGGGGGGGAAGGCGAGCAGATGCTTGGAAGAAACACTGAGGTCCACTTAGCTCTAGTGGGTAGCTAATTCACGTTGGCGAAAACAAAGGCCACCGTGCTTACCCAGAGGCTTAGCGACCTTTCCCGGCGCCCGGGGACAAACTTTCAATTTGGCGCCCCCCTCAGGAGCAAATTTTCAATTTGCACCCCCCCCCCAAACTATTTATAATGCAAAAATGCAGCTAAAATGACATTTTAATTTGTTTTTACAACCCATTTTTGCGCCCCCTAAGGTCAGCGCCCGGGGACATATGTACCCCCCTGCCCCCCCCCCCCCCCCCCCCCCTCCTCCCATCGCTACGCCTCTGTGCTGACCACACTATTCTTTTACTTGCCGATTTATTTATTTATTTTTAAATATGAATTCTACTTCATCTACCCCATGTGTCTTGGGCACGGGAAAAGATGATGACGAATTTCTTATGTTCAGATAGACGGCGAGCTGTCGATGGGTCAAGTTGTGAGTACGGCTCCAGGAAATCTGAGAACCTTTGTTAGCAGCATCTTTTTTGTTTGTCTCTTGTCTTGGCAGGAAGGAAATGATGAGGTCATGCTTTTTATTACAATCTTTTATTTACTGCGCAACGTCTTGTTTGTTTGTTTGTTTGTAGTTTGTATGTGGTTTTGTGGCTAATCTTGTAACTCTATTTTGACCCATTTCTAATGCAGCGATTTCATTCAAACTTTCCAGATATATTCCACTTTGATGATAATATAAGTTATCTATTTTTAATTTAACTAGAAGTTTAATCAGACATTGAAAACTAATTGAACGGGTTCGAAACTAAGGGGAGATAACAAAATTAAATAACTCGATAGATTACTACAATCGCGAAGACGGTCGGTTTAGTGAAGGCTATTAGGGGCAGATAGTACAGTTTTTAAACGATTTGAAACTAAGGAGATTTAAAAAATATACTGTCGTCTGTTAAATATGCTCACGGACGGCTGCTTTCACAGGTAGAAAATCGCCTCGATATTTTTGTTGATTTTCTACATGTTAATGTTTTCAATTATTTATTGGCCGTATGTTAACTCTTTATATGTTGATGTATGTTCACTTTTGATGTGTTACTATATTTTAGGCACTGAAATCGAGTGTTACTGAATGCTTGAACGAAGCGTCATCACACAAATACAGAAGCATTGCATTCCCTGCTCTGGGCATGGGAGGGTTCAAGTACCCCCAGTACAAAGTTGCCATGGCTATGTGTAAAGCGATTGTTGACTACTTCATCCTCCATCCTTCTACGTCACTGGAAACTGTGTACATCGTACTTCCGTTTCATGACCTGAGTCAGCGTGCCTCGATACAAGTACGGCGTTTACAAAACTATAACTTTGACAATTTTACTGTTAAATAAAATACATTGATACAATGTGGCATCTAGTATTCTATTATCGTTCACTGAGATTTACTCTATAGGGTTTGAGGCATTAAAAAAAATTCATTAAGTTTAGAATATAGAACTGATAAAATTAAATATAAATAGTTATGTTTTTATTTTAGTGAGAAAATATACATAATAGTGGTCGGCGTGGTCGAGTCAGTAAAGCTCATGGTTGCTAAACCGAAAAGTCTTGAGTTCGAACCCTCGGGCAGATGAGGCTCGTTAGCAGGGGACAGCCACTCTTCCAGGAGAAACAACTCCAAAATCAAACAACTACTGCCATGTAGTTTGTTCTTGGTTGGACAAAGGCTATGGAAGCAAATCCAAAAAGAAAAGCAGGCTGAAATCAATGGCCAAATGGCGCATAACCAGTTGACACGTATCCTTAACTGTGTTGAAGGGGGATCCCTTCCAACACTAAAATTAAGAACGAAGTAGTAGACAATTTACATAATTAGCATAATAAATAATAATTATAATTGTTCTGTTTAACAGTCATTTTTACAAAGTGCTATGGGATTTCTTGAGGGTCACAACCACACAGATCCTGACCAATCGAAACTTGCGACAGTAAATGTGGCTGGGGTGGAAGCTTTCAATGGACTGGAGGGGCAGAGGGTCCGGGCACCAGGTAACTTTTGTATGATCAGTCTAAGGGTTCAAACACACGTTAGGGTTTGTCTGAGGCATCAAATGTTTTTTCATGAATAGGGTTTGGGCATCAAGTAATTTTTAATTTTTCCTGGATAGACTGAGGGTTTTGGCATCAAGTAATTTTTTCCTAGATAGACTGAGGTTTCGGGCATCAAGTAATTTTTTCCTAGATAGACTGAGGGTTTTGGCATCAAGTAATTTTTTCCTAGATAGACTGAGGGTTTGGGCATCAAGTAATTTTTTCCTGGATAGACTGAGGTTTGAAGCTACGTATAGTTCTTTTTAAAGGTTTGAAAAGTGTAACTGTACTAGCTTTTGGAACTGTACAACCTCCCGGTACTGGGGATATAACTCAAAGATTTTTGTAATGGCTGGGGCTGTGCTCGGACAGTGTTCACATTGTCGTTCGCTGTTATCTTCTGAAATGCTTAGTTAGCAATCACCAATTTGCTTTGCTAAGCCTCCTTCCTGAAACCCTCCAACCCTCAAAACCAATTATATTATAATAGTTGTGTGCATGACTGTGTTAATGTCAATTACGCTACACCAGTTCTCTTCTGTCGATATCCTAACATAATTCATACAAGGAAGCTTTAACATATGTTACAGAAATGGAACACAACGTTTGTCTTCTTCTTCTTCGTTCTTAATTATTAGTGTTGAAGGGGATCGAGATCTATCTGCCAGTGGATTTGAACTCGAATCTTTGTTCGAATTTATCAACCATGAGCTTTTTGCCGACTCGACCACACCTCCAACACAATGTGTCAACTGGTTAAGCGCCATTGAGGCCATTGACTCCGATTTCAGCCTGCTTTTCTTTTTGGATTTGCTTCCATAGCCTTTGTCCAACCAAGAACAATCTACAAGGCAGCAGTTGTTTAATTTTGGAGTTGTCTCTCTAACAAGCCTCATCTGCCCGTGGGTTCGAACTCGAGACTTTTCGGTTTAGCAACCATGAGCTTTACCGACTCGACCACGCCGACCCCTACAACGTTTGTTTTACTGTTAACAATTTCAAGTACTCCCCTATTAAAATTGTACCTCAATTAATTATTTATTTTAAAAATATGCATGTCTATTTTATAAATGAATACTAAATTTAGAATTGATAAAGTATTTTTTTAACAGCTTACAACTACGAGGTTACTTTTACCCAGCACCATTTTGAATATTTTGATCTCGATTTTCTCAAAACTATCAACTTACATTTAAGTACTTTACCATAATCTGAGCCTTCACATGTTGGCACGACTAAACATTATCTCAAACAATTACTGCATCGTAAAGTAAAGTGGAGTTAACGTTGCAAAGATGTTGCGTGTGAAGCAGCCTTCACCAGTGTCTGTGAGCTCTGCATATGAAGTCATAGTGCGATCACCGCAGTTTGATTACAACAAATTCTATAACACGCACAGAGGCGTAGCGAAGGGGGGGGGGGGGGGGGGGTGGTGGTGGGTACAAATGTACTCGGGCGCCGACCCTAGGAGCGCTAAAATGGGTTGGGAAAAAATTAAAAAGCTCATTTTAGCTGCAATTTTGAATTATAAACATAAAAAAATATATGTTGGGGGGGGGGGGGCGAAATTGAAAGTTTGTCCCCGGGCGCCGGCAGGGTTCGCTAAGCCTCTGAACACACATGTTTTTATTTTTCTTCAGAAAATCGAAGTCTACGCCTACCCTCCATGGCTGCTGTTTCCCAATCAGCTGTAGACAAATTGGTCTCCACAGCAACACAACTGCCATCATCAGTGGCAAGCTTTGCTGGTAATCCGAGCCCAATCACCTGGAGTGTGCAACCAGGATTAAGAGATAAATGGCATATTTACGTGACCACGACAGTGGAAATAGATTGGTTGACTGCTTTTAAAAAATGGTGGTCAGCTAGATAGTAAAATTGCCACAGAATCAGGAGCGATAATTTTGTTATCTATACACCAAAGTGGCTTCGATAAGTGTGTATTATGTATTTTAAAGTCAATTTCACAACAATTGTTTTTCAACTGTTTTTGTCTTAAGTTCTTTAAAAAACATTTTCAGCACCTGTAAGTGAAAATATCATATCCTGTTCTAAGTATGGCTATAGACTAGGTTTTTTTTCTTTGTTGATAATGTAATTAGAAACATTGGATAATTTTTCTGTAACAACTGCCTCTCCCATTATTACTGTATAAAGTGTATTAACTAAAAAAAATATTTGGATGCTTTAGTAGTATTTTGAAATTTTTTCTTTTAAAATTGATGCTTTAAAAACATCAGTTAATAAACCGAACCAGACAGGTTTTAAAAAGATTACAATTGGTGCCTTGGCTAATTCTAAATGAAGTCGTCACTAAGACGTTAGTGCAACAGTTCGCTGGGTCTAATCGTGACGTCGTTGTTTCCTTCCTTTTTCTGAAAAACTAACATTTTTATAACGTGTATATTTTGTTGTAATATCCCGCTGGAACATGAGTCTATGTGGGAAACGAAGTAGAGTTCATCAGTTTCTGTGACCTCCGCATACGGAAGTATAATTTGGTCAGCACTATGCCCAGCCGCCTTTACTTTCCCTGACGTAAGTGAGGTACAGATTAGAGCTGGGTGGACTCAGCGACATTTTAAAGACTTGAACGCAGATTCGAACTCGAGACTTTCAAGTTATTAGTCGTATGTTCTACCAATCGGCCACACTGTCCCACACATTTTATTGTATACTTTAAAAAAAAAGATTTGTTATTATTTGCTCGTATATTTTATATAGTTAATGTAACAATAATTTGGTTTCTGTAATTAACCATTATAATTGTGCTAATGTGTTTTAAATTTTTTTAAATGCCAATTTTTCTTTAATATTTTCCTTATTATTTAGTCCAAGTCTTAATACATATTACAATAAAATTAGTGAGAGTATATTTGTAATTGCTTAGGACTTCTTTGTTATGTTATGTGGGTTTTAAAGTTTATCTTACAAGCTTTATTATTATCAATTTTTCTTTTACATCGTATTCAAATAAAGAATACTATTCATCAGTTAGTAATCTTTTAATAAAAATAAATTTTACTATGCCCTCCCTTGTCACAGTGGCGTAGCGAGGTCGGGTGTCACCCGGTGCGGCACTTAATGGTGTCACCCCCCCCCCCCTCTCAAACTTTCGATTTGCACCCCCCCCCCCCTTCCCCATAAACATTTTTGATTTGCACGAATTAATCACTTGATTAAGTGGAATTATAATTTTTCTCTATATATTTTGCTATTTTTTGCCTTGGTGTCACCCCTCTAAATGGTGTCACCCGGTGCGATCCGCAACCCCGTCCCCCCCTTCGCTTCGCCTCTGCCCTGTCACTCTGCTTTGTAGAACGCTTTCTTTGTGTAACGCCAAGCAAAGCGACATAGTCAAGATGTGGAAATGTTGTAAGTGCACAACTCTCGTGTTTATATACTGGATGATGCGTATACTAATTAATGCTCATACAATCAGTACAAGTAACTTACTGTATTGGTCAGATTAAAAAAAATCGAATTGCTGCACTCAGATAGTAAAATGTCTATCTAACATGTTAAAATTTCAAATTTCCATTTTAAAAATATTCTTCGATTGCTTCCCTTATAAAACATTTAAAAAATATATCTGTCTTAATCTTACCCAATATTATACAGAAAAAAAAAAACGAATGTACAACAAAAACTGAAAACCAACAGCGATGTAAGTTTATTTTTCTAATAAACAAAATCATAAACAAAAACCATTGGAAATAATGCAAAATACACCAATAAAAACCAGTGGTGTCGCTAGGTCGGGTGTCACCCGGTGCGGCACCTCATGGAGTCACCCCTCCCCCCTAAAAAAAGTATATATATATATATATATATATATATATATATATCTATATATATATATATATATATATATATATATATATATATATATATATATATATATATATATATATATATATATATACATATATATATATATATACTTTTTTTAGGGGGGAGGGGTGACTTTACAAGATCTTCAATTAGTACTTTAAATGTTTTTTTTAAACTCTAATTAATAATTAATTAAACTGCAAAAAGCATTTTTCTTCTGTATATTTTTCAACTTTGCCTTGGTGTCAACCGTAAATGGTGTCACCCGGTGCGGTCCGCAACCCCCGCCCCCGCCTAGCGACTCTGCTAAAAACAAAGCAATACTGATCGAAATAAGTGTATGGGTTAATTAAGCAGAATATATAAAATATATGTACATTATTTAAGAGCTTTTGATCAAATATAATGTGATGAAAAGTAAGCTGTGTAAATAGCCTAATTATGTTTTATGAATTATACAAAAAAAAACTTAAAAATTTAACATCAGCTATATATTATGGATCGCCAATCAAAATAAAATAATGTGTAAATGCAATTAACTCATTTTAAGAATAGTAATCTGTATAATATTTCAATTTTCTAAACGCTTTTCAATTTTTTATTTGAAAAATGTATTATTATGCTAGACTTATAAAAATATAATCTGTTATTATAACTAGGGGTCATCCATTCATGACGTCTATACACATAGTAATTTTGAGTCGCCTGCCCAGTTTATATTTACCGATGTCTTTTTTTGCCAACCCACATGTGGACGCAAAATATAAAGCGTTGATCTCCACACTGATCTGAAAACCACCCTCCCCCCCCCCCTGCAGCCCCCCCCCCTCGCCCTCAGTCCACGCGTATGAACGTCATATATAAATGACCATGTACGCGGTAATTTAAAATAAAGCGATAAGCAAAAATAATAGACAAATATAATATGCTTACAGTGTAAAATTATATAAAAAACTGTTTGAAGAAAAAAAAAGTAAAAAAAAACAATTGTTCAAAGTTAGTTGATTTTAACATTCGCTTGCTTTTGCAAACCTAACATTTCCAACTAGTTAACTTATGAAATACATTTACCAAAAACTATTTTTTATCAAACCTGTATTGGATAAGTATATATTGAGTGAGATCTCTTATAAAAAAAGAGTTAAGGCTGCCAGTTATGGTGATAACAAAACCGATCATCAGTGGCGTAGCCAGGAGTTGGTCATGGGAGGGGTTCAAATATTTTTCCATATGTATAAAATCATATATATATAGGGATGTGAGTCCATGGGAGGGGTTATAACCCCCCTAACCCCCCCCCCCCCTTGCCTACGCCACTGCCGATCATATTATTTGTTGGCAAAAATATTTTATTTAAAAAAATATTGTATGGCTTTCTTAACAAAGGAGGTCATGGAGAGGTGTTCGCTAGTTAAAAAAAAAACAACTTTTAAGTTATTTAAAAAATGTATGTGTAGCCTATAATTTAAAACGTCAATAATAACACCGATCTGTATATTCATTTTTTAAAACAGACAAGTGATACATGTTTTATTATTTAAAAACAAAATTGTGACTTTAAGGTTTTTAAAATAATACACACGGTACTTCGACAGGTAACTGAAATTTGTTTTTTAAAGTTAAAGGTGGGAGAATAAATCTGAAGACTACAATGTTTGTGGAATTAGTGTGTAGACTGGTGTGAGGGGAATTATTCTGGAGACTTAAAGTGTGAGGGGTATTAGTCTAGACACTACAATGTGAGGGGAATTAGTCTAGACACTGCAATGTGAGGGGAATTAGTCTAGACACTACAATGTGAGGGGTATTAGTCTAGACACTACAATGTGAGGGGAATTAGTCTAGACACTGCAATGTGAGGGGAATTAGTCTAGACACTGCAATGTGAGGGGAATTTGTCTACACTACAATGTGAGGGGAATTAGTCTAGACACTACAATGTGAGGGGAATTTGTCTAGACACTGCAATGTGAGGGGAATTTGTCTACACTACAATGTGAGGGGAATTAGTCTAGACACTACAATGTGAGGGGAATTAGTCTAGACACTGCAATGTGAGGGGAATTAGTCTAGACACTACAATGTGAGGGGAATTAGTCTAGACACTACAATGTGAGGGGAATTAGTCTAGACACTACAATGTGAGGGGAATTTGTCTAGACACTACAATGTGAGGGGAATTAGTCTAGACACTGCAATGTGAGGGGAATTAGTCTAGACACTACAATGTGAGGGGAATTAGTCTAGACACTACAATGTGAGGGGAATTAGTCTAGACACTACAATGTGAGGGGAATTTGTCTAGACACTACAATGTGAGGGGAATTAGTCTAGACACTACAATGTGAGGGGAATTAGTCTAGACACTGCAATGTGAGGGGAATTAGTCTAGACACTACAATGTGAGGGGAATTAGTCTAGACACTACAATGTGAGGGGAATTAGTCTAGACACTACAATGTGAGGGGATTTTGTCTACACACTACAATGTGAGGGGAATTTGTCTACACTACAATGTGAGGGGAATTAGTCTAGACACTACAATGTGAGGGGAATTAGTCTAGACACTACAATGTGAGGGGAATTAGTCTAGACACTACAATGTGAGGGGAATTTGTCTACACTACAATGTGAGGGGAATTAGTCTGGACAATACAATGTGAGGGGAATTAGTCTAGACACTACAATGTGAGGGGAATTAGTCTAGACAATACAATGTGAGGGGAATTAGTCTAGACACTACAATGTGAGGGGAATTTGTCTACACTACAATGTGAGGGGAATTAGTCTGGACAATACAATGTGAGGGGAATTAGTCTAGACACTACAATGTGAGGGGAATTAGTCTGGACAATACAATGTGAGGGGAATTAGTCTAGACACTACAATGTGAGGGGAATTTGTCTACACTACAATGTGAGGGGAATTAGTCTAGACACTACAATGTGAGAGGAATTAGTCTAGACAGTACAGTGTGAGGGGAATTAGTCGAGACACTACAATGTGAGGGGAATTAGTCTAGACACTACAATGTGAGGGGAATTAGTCTAGACACTGCAATGTGAGGGGAATTTGTCTAGACACTACAATGTGAGGGGAATTAGTCTAGACACTACAATGTGAGGGGAATTCATCTAGACACTGCAATTTGAGGGGAATTTGTCTACACACTACAATGTGAGGGGAATTTGTCTACACTACAATGTGAGGGGAATTAGTCTAGACACTACGATGTGAGGGGAATTTGTCTACACTACAATGTGAGGGGAATTAGTCTACACACTACAATGTGAGGAGGAATTAGTCTACACTACAATGTGAGGGGAATTAGTCTAGACACTACAATGTGAGGGGAATTAGTCTAGACACTAAAATGTGAGGGGAATTCGTCTAGACACTGCAATATGAGGGGAATTTGTCTAGACACTACAATGTGAGGGGAATTTGTCTAGACACTGCAATGTGAGGGGAATTAGTCTAGACACTACAATGTGAGGGGAATTAGTCTAGACACTACAATGTGAGGGGAATTTGTCTAGACACTACAATGTGAGGGGAATTAGTCTAGACACTGCAATGTGAGGGGAATTAGTCTAGACACTACAATGTGAGGGGAATTAGTCTAGACACTACAATGTGAGGGGAATTAGTCTAGACACTACAATGTGAGGGGAATTTGTCTAGACACTACAATGTGAGGGGAATTAGTCTAGACACTACAATGTGAGGGGAATTAGTCTAGACACTGCAATGTGAGGGGAATTAGTCTAGACACTACAATGTGAGGGGAATTAGTCTAGACACTACAATGTGAGGGGATTTTGTCTACACACTACAATGTGAGGGGAATTTGTCTACACTACCAATGTGAGGGGAATTAGTCTAGACACTACAATGTGAGGGGAATTAGTCTAGAACTACAATGTGAGGGGAATTAGTCTAGACACTACAATGTGAGGGGAATTAGTCTAGACACTACAATGTGAGGGGAATTTGTCTACACTACAATGTGAGGGGAATTAGTCTGGACAATACAATGTGAGGGGAATTAGTCTAGACACTACAATGTGAGGGGAATTAGTCTGGACAATACAATGTGAGGGGAATTAGTCTAGACACTACAATGTGAGGGGAATTTGTCTACACTACAATGTGAGGGGAATTAGTCTGGACAATACAATGTGAGGGGAATTAGTCTAGACACTACAATGTGAGGGGAATTAGTCTGGACAATACAATGTGAGGGGAATTAGTCTAGACACTACAATGTGAGGGGAATTTGTCTACACTACAATGTGAGGGGAATTAGTCTAGACACTACAATGTGAGAGGAATTAGTCTAGACAGTACAGTGTGAGGGGAATTAGTCGAGACACTACAATGTGAGGGGAATTAGTCTAGACACTACAATGTGAGGGGAATTAGTCTAGACACTGCAATGTGAGGGGAATTTGTCTAGACACTACAATGTGAGGGGAATTAGTCTAGACACTACAATGTGAGGGGAATTCATCTAGACACTGCAATTTGAGGGGAATTTGTCTACACACTACAATGTGAGGGGAATTTGTCTACACTACAATGTGAGGGGAATTAGTCGAGACACTACAATGTGAGGGGAATTAGTCTAGACACTACAATGTGAGGGGAATTAGTCTAGACACTACAATGTGAGGGGAATTAGTCTAGACACTAAAATGTGAGGGGAATTCGTCTAGACACTGCAATATGAGGGGAATTTGTCTAGACACTACAATGTGAGGGGAATTAGTCTACACACTACAATGTGAGGGGAATTAGTCTACACACTACAATGTGAGGGGAATTAGTCTGGACACTACAATGTGAGGGGAATTAGTCTAGACACTACAATGTGAGGGGAATTAGTCTAGACACTACAATGTGATGGGAATTAGTCTAGACACTACAATGCGAGGGGAATTTGTCTACACACTACAATGTGAGGGGAGTTAGTCTAGACACTACAATGTGAGGGGAATTAGTCTAGACACTACAATGTGAGGGGAATTTGTCTACATTACAATGTGAGGGGAATTAGTCTAGACACTACAATGTGAGGGGAATTAGTCTAGACACTACAATGTGAGGGGAATCAGTCTAGACAGTACAGTGTGAGGGGAATTTGTCTACACACTACAATGTGAGGGGAATTTGTCTACACTACAATGTGAGGGGAATTAGTCTAGACACTACAATGTGAGGGGAATTAGTCTAGACACTACAATGTGCGGGGAATTAGTCTAGACAGTACAGTGTGAGGGGAATTAGTCGAGACACTACAATGTGAGGGGAATTAGTCTAGACACTGCAATGTGAGGGGAATTAGTCTAGACACTGCAATGTGAGGGGAATTAGTCTAGACACTACAATGTGAGGGGAATTAGTCTAGACACTACAATGTGAGGGGAATTAGTCTAGACACTACAATGTGAGGGGAATTAGTCTAGACACTGCAATGTGAGGGGAATTAGTCTAGACACTGCAATGTGAGGGGAATTAGTCTAGACACTGCAATGTGAGGGGAATTAGTCTAGACACTGCAATGTGAGGGGAATTAGTCTAGACACTGCAATGTGAGGGGAATTAGTCTAGACACTGCAATGTGAGGGGAATTAGTCTAGACACTGCAATGTGAGGGGAATTAGTCTAGACACTGCAATGTGAGGGGAATTATTCTACACACTAAAATGTGAGGGGAATTAGTCTACACTACAATGTGAGGTGAATTATTCTGGAAACAACAGTCTCAGGGGAACTATTCTGGAAACTACAATGTGGGTATGTTAGTCCGAAGACTACGACTTCTTCCAAAAAAAATCCTTCATCATTTTCAGCCCATTCACGGTCAAGGTACCTTTAGCAGTGAAGGACAAACTTTTCCAATCAGCGCTGGTTGTCACGTTGTAATCTAAGGCAGAGTCAGTATCGCCTGAAGACAAAGAGAGTGAGACGGTGGAGTCTCCCGTGTCCTTTTCTTCAATCTTGGGCGCCCTGATGTTTATACCAGCTAGTAGAGAGGTTTAAAACAAAGTTATTCTTCTTGTTCTTAAAGAATGTGAATTAAAAAACCAATTATTTTCTACAAACTCTATTTGTTCAAATTATCTTCAATACAAAATACAACATCGTGGAAAATTCCCTACACTCCAACAATCCTCACCTCTCCAATCACAAAATTAAAAAGAAAATAAATACATCGTCATCGGAGTCAAGATTAATTTAATTGTAAATAGAATTGGCTATATATATATATATATATATATATATATATATATATATATATATATATATATATATATATATATACCTGTCTGTAGTCTTTGTCTCTCTATGCCTTCGAAGGCGGTCAAGCCAGATATATCAGTCCTGAATTTCTTTGAATCCTCTGGGCTTAAGAAGTTCATTCCAGACAAAAACATCTTTGCCATTTGGAGGAAAACCTGTAATATTAAAATGTTGGTTGCTAATTCAATTTAAGGCCAAAACAATACCTTCTTATAAGATTAAATGCTTTATAATAAACGTTCTCTATCATATATATATATATATATATATATATATATATATATATATATATATATATATATATATATATATATATATATATATATAAATATATATATATATATATAATTTATGCTTGTATATACTTGTACACGCCATACCTGTATCGACGCTTGTTGAGTTATGTCGTAAAGGGGAAGAACAATGTATACAGTTTTCAGGGACGTAGCTTCACACGCAACGAAGTACGAGACGATGGCTTTGAGTGTGGCCTCGGCGACTGCCCATTGTGGGTACTTGAACCCACCCATGCCTAGTGCTGGTAATGCAATGCTTTTGTAATTCTGTTCAGAGGCTATGTTCAGGCATTCAAGCACACTGGAGAACAGTCCCTGAGGCAGAGAGAGAAGTTAAATAAGGAAAACATAAATATTAAAAAAACCTTGTTACATATAGGCTTGTGTTAAGCGATACATGACTGATCCAGCTATTATTTTTTTTTATCCATAATTAGGGCCCAAGTAATTACTTGGGCTTTCGAGCATGGAGTATCAGCCTTTGTTCATATTGAAAGCGACATTAAACTCATTTACTTAATTAAAAGGTCAAAATAGGGACGAATAAAGTACTTTTTAGCCATAAGGTTATTAAGGTTAGTTCATCATTGCTTGTATAGTCTCAGCTTGTTATGTTTCCGCGATATTAAAGGTTCACTTTTTGAACTAATCCGCTGTACGCAAAACAGGAGGGTAGTCGTACTTTTACAAGTCAGAAACATTATTTGATCACATCCTTCCAGTTGGATTTGTTAGATTGGATCATCAATTATTTGACTAAAGCACGTAAAAATGCAATGGTAAATATTTCTGATCAGCTCTACTTCACCTAAATAAAAAGCAACCTTGTAACAGGTAGTTGGGTAAGTTAAACCTCATCGTTGGTAAGATCTACTTTACCTGCATAAATACAACTTCCCAACATATCTATTCGGTAACACACACCTCAATTTTGGTTCGCTCTACTTCACCTGCCCAAAAACCCACAAATCCCCAACGGGTCCATTGGGTAATACACACCTCAAATTTGGTAAACTCTACTTCACCTGCAAAACACAACTCCGTGACAGTTAACACAAACCTCATCGTTGCCGTCCTGCCAAGCCATCAGACAGACGAACATGATGCTGCGCACACGGTCTCTGAGGTTACCTGGTGTTGTGTTGATCACTTGACCGAAAGTTAGCTCCCCTGGTCTCTAAGATAACAAAAAAACAAAGTGTTGTTTTTAAGATTTTCACTCTTGGATAAATTATATTAGAAATATATTAAAGATAACAAAAAACAAACTGTTGTTTTTAAGATTTTCACTCTTGGATAAATTATATAAGAAATATATTAAATATAACAAAAAACAAACTGTTGTTTTTAAGATTTTCACTCTTGGATAAATTATATAAGAAATATATTAAAGATAACAAAAAACTAACTGTTGTTTTTAAGATTTGCACTCTTGGATAAATTATATTAGAAATATATTAAAGATAACAAAAAACAAACTGTTGTTTTTAAGATTTGCACTCTTGAATAAATTATATAAGAAATATATTAAAGATAACAAAAGACAAACTGTTGTTTTTAAGATTTGCACTCTTGGATAAATTATATAAGAAATATATTAAAGATAACAAAAACAAACTTGTTTTTAAGATTTGACTCTTGAATAAATTATATAAGAAATATATTAAATATAACAAAAAACAAACTGTTGTTTTTAAGATTTGCACTCTTGAATAAATTATATAAGAGATATATTAAAGATAACAAAAAACAAACTGTTGTTATTAAGATTTGCACTCTTGAATAAATTATATAAGAAATATATTAAAGATAACAAAAGACAAACTGTTGTTTTTAAGATTTGCACTCTTGGATAAATTATATAAGAAATATATTAAAGATAACAAAAAACCAACTGTTGTTTTTAATATTTGCACTCTTGAATAAATTATATAAGAAATATATATTAGATAACAAAAATCAAACTGTTGTTTTTAAGATTTGACTCTTGAATAAATTATATAAGAAATATATTAAAGATAACAAAAAACAAACTGTTGTTTTTAAGATTTGCACTCTTGAATAAATTATATTAGAAATATACTAAAGATAACAAAAAACAAACTGTTGTTTTTAAGATTTGCACTCTTGAATAAATTATATAAGAAATATATTAAAGACAACAAAAAACAAACTGTTGTTTTTAAGATTTGCACTCATGAGTAAATTATATTAGAAATATATTAAAGTTATGTAGGTTGTCCTGCTTGATTTCTTGGATATTAAATATGACGTGTTTTTTTTCAAGTACTTATTTTTAAAGTTAAATAAGTAAGAAATAAATGAGAAATAAGCATATGTTGAAAGTAATAAATGAAAAGAATTAATATTCTTGTTAATGTTCTTTCGCTTTTATACATAGCTTTATACAAAGTAAAGTGGCTCAATAATGAAGGAATGAAAAAAATATTTTTTTTAAATTAAAAATAAATAAATCTTACCTCCAATGTCCTTCGTCAAAAAAAAAAATAGCAAATAAATTGTGTAACAGTTTTAAAGTCATAGACACTTGAAAGACCAATACAAACCTAATGTAGCTACTAAAAAAATGTCAATAAAAAATTTACCGCATTTAGAGCGTTCTGTACTTCAGTTCCAGCCTTCTTTAGCACTTGGCCAGACAGCAAGCACTTTGACATCTGCTTGTGGCTGAGTGTGGAACTAACAATGGCGTCTGCCTGGGTACAAGAACAAGACGGATCTCACAATATGGTCGGGTGCTAGGGCATACGAGAGCTAACTCGGAAATCTCGAGTTTAAATCACAGACTCGAATAAGTAAGAAGGGAGAATAAAAGCGACGTATGGCATAGAACTGACCCCCATCACTCTATATGCCGAGTTCACTGTAAGACCGTCGAACTATAGGGCTGGTAAGTAGGTCACCAAACAGTTCATAGCTCATGCAGGCTTTATTGAGCCGTAGAACTGGTTGGTGACCTACTTACGAGCCCTATAGCAAACAGTTGACAGTTGATTTGCAATAGAGTTGTTTTTTTTTGTTTTTTTTTTTTTACTTTATTTTTATAAAGGTTCAAAAGTTCGTTAGGTGTGGGGCATTTGTAAGAAATGCTACGGCGGCTATGTTCAGTGTTTCTTCCAGACTTTTTTCTCCGGGGGTGCACTTGAAATTTTCGGGGAGGGGGGGTGGGGCAGACAAAAATTTTCGGGGGGGGGGAGGCAAACACTGTTAAAGCATATAATATGTTCTATATAAATTCCATTTCTTTCGGGGGGGGGGGGGGTAGACTTTTGTCGAGGGGGGGGGGGGCGGTGCCTCCCCGAACGGATGCCTTGAAGAAACTCTGGCTATGTTCTATTCTGTATGTTACATTACAAATTGTTTGGCTTCATGATAAAAAAAAGCGGAGTAAAATTAATTTTATTTAATGAATGAGTCATCTATATCTTATTGATTTACCCCATAAGAGAAACAAAACTCCTTGTCAGGAATTACAAAGTTTCAAGTCACCCCCCCCCCCCCCCCCACCCGAAGCATAATACTTGAAAAAAAAAAACCAGGAGACCACCACCTTGAACGGTGGCGTTAGACTATTGGGTCGGTTAAACAACAACGTTAACGACAACAAACCTTTTGATTGGTTATATCGCCGTTTACAAACTCCAACCGGAAGTTGACGGCATTGGACATGTTTGTTCAGCTTACGGATCAGACGTTCTGAAAAAAACAATATCTTAGGAGTACCACTGTTCAGGAGCGTAGCGAGGGGGGGGGGGCGGGGGTGCGGACCGCACCGGGTGACACCATTTAGGGGGGTGACACCAAGGCAAAAAATAGCAAAATATATAGAGAAAAACTTGAGGGGGGGGGGGTGCAAATCGAAAGTTCGAGGATGGGGGGGGGGTGTAAATCGAAAATTTGAAAGTTTGTACCCGGGAAGGGTCGCTACGCCTCTGGGGGGTGACACCATTAAGTGCCGCACCGGGTGACACCCGACCTCGCTACGCCATTGCCACTGTTTGATATATTTCTTCTAGGCTCGTGATAGAATAACGCGGTTGTGCCCCCTATTCTAAGCATGGGACATAATAACGTGGTTGTGCCCCCTATTCTAAGCATGGGACATAATAACGTGGTTGTGCTCCCTATTCTATGCAGGGGACATAATAACGTGGTTGTGCCCCCTATTCTAAGCATGGGACATAATAACGTGGTTGTGCCCCCTATTCTAAGCATGGGACATAATAACGTGGTTGTGCCCCCTATTCTATGCAGGGGACATAATAACGTGGTTGTGCCCCCTATTCTAAGCATGGGGCATAATAACGTGGTTGTGCCCCCTATTCTAAGCATGGGACATAATAACGTGGTTGTGCCCCCTATTCTAAGCATGGGACATAATAACGTGGTTGTGCCCCCTATTCTAAGCATGGGGCATAATAACGTGGTTGTGCCCCCTATTCTAAGCATGGGACATAATAACGTGGTTGTACCCCCTATTCTATGCAGGGGACATAATAACGTGGTTGTGCCCCCTATTCTAAGCATGGGACATAATAACGTGGTTGTGCCACCTATTCTAAGCATGGGACAGAATGACGTGGTTGTGCCCCCTACCCACTAAGTTTCCTGCGCTATATGTCACTCTCTTCCCAATCGTTCCTATTCTCCATACTTGTGAGTACTATTTATTTACATTCTTTAATCTCAATATAACTAACATGGACTACAGCTTGAAGGGTAATGAAATCATGTAAACAAAAGGGTCGCTACTCTAAATATACGCGAATACTTATAAGTAACAATCCAAACAGTACCCTCTAAGCTAGGCTAGGGACTATTTTAATGCACACATTTTCTTTGTCTTGTTCATTCATGAACTCATTAACGTTACATACAGATCTTCATACGGCGTTGTGGTCGAATGGTAGAGCACTTGAATGCTAACCCGATAGTCTGGAGTCAGTACTTAGACTACCCAGCTTCGGTAGTGAAAGTAAAGGCGGCTGGGCATAGGGCTGACCACATTATCCTTTCTTAGACTGAGGTACTGAAACAGGTGAACTCTACTTCACCTCCCCATGGACCGTAATTTTCGAAGGGGTACTTTACTTTTTACATACTTAAGCATAGAGTGGCAACACCCGATGTTAGAAGGAGATGATATCTAGTAAAGGGGGGGGGGGGGGTGAGGACACCTTGCGTACCCCATCGGGTGTCTCTAAACCAAGTAACGCCACTGCCCAACCCTGTATTTAGCTATATAACATTTCCTTAGGTCACTGCCCTATATATTGACATTTCTAGACACGAGATAATCGGCTGCTATACACAAGTATTTTTTTTATTATTAAAATGACGTAAGTCAAGGGAAGGCAGAGGGGGGGCGGGGGCTGCGGACTGTACCGGGTGACACCATTTATGGGGGTGACACCAAAAAATAGCAACATATATAGAGAAAAATTTGAGGGGGGGGGGGTGCAAATCGAAAGTTTGAGGGGGGGTGCAAATCGAATGTTTGAGGGGGATGCAAATCGAAAGTTTTTCCCTGGGAAGGGTCGCTACGCCTATGGGGGGGGGGGTGACACCATTAAGTGACACCCGACCTCGCTACGCCACTGAGGGAAGGTAACGTATTAATTGTACTGCAAATACATACGTTTTCTAGTCAAAATGGATTTTTTTTGTTGTTGTTGTAAAAGTCAGGGTCTTCTAAGACTGCTATTTACCACCCATTGGACACAATGAACGACTACCGCACTCATCCGTGTCATATATGTATTGTACATTGTCTATAATGTGAATTAAGCTAAAACGAATTATTTATCAAATAACGTTTTCATAAATTAATCAGATGTGATAAGGGCAAATTATACAAATCCTACCGTGTATCACGGATATCTTATATGAACATACACACATTATTTATCTTGTTATATCCCCTTTTAATTAATTTTCCTGGTGTTAAAGGGCGATAACAAGTGTGCCTCAAATAAATTCACATCGAGAATTTCCACACAAAAAAAGAATTTCCGAAAACTCGCTCGAATTTGGTCTAAAGTTTTATTACTAGCACAAACAAAAATAGTATTGTTACCATTTAATTAGTGAACAAAAAAGTAATATTTATTACAAGTATACATATCAGAGTATAAAAGTATATACATTATTGTATGTTGACAGCTACACCGATATGTTAGAGATTGAGCTAGTAGACCCTAAAATTTATAGGCTTACCTTATTATGTAATAACGGGAATATCCGATCTTGCTGTCTTTGTTTAATTAAATTATTCGGTAGATTATACAATTAACAATGTTTCTTTTCAAAATGAATAAATCACTAACTGAAATTCAAACGATAAATTCTATCAGTACTATTGTCTATTTTTGCATGTAGACTATGAGCAGACGATGAACTCAGGAATTATACATGTAGACAGACTAATTATAATTACAACGAGCCAACCCGCGGCATATCATACGCGGCTATTTAGTTGTTGTTTTTTCTACTTTTCAGTTATTCATAATTTGTGAATTTTTTGAATTCGACACTACCAACGCTGCCACTGAAAATATTTCTTAATAACACTATAAGTAGCTCGGTAAGGACGATAACCCCCCCCTCCCCTCCTTCACCCCCACCCCTCCGTTAAAGTAAACTCCACTTAGTTACCCCCCCCCCCCCTACGTTTAAAATCGTTTCAAACTAAATTATCTGCCCCTAATAGTCGTCACTAAACCCGGCTGTGTTTGTAATGTTTGTAAACATAAAGAGTGAACCACAACTCACCAGACCCATGTAGGGAGCACGTTTGCAGCTTGTTTTCTAGCGGCTCCCAGAAGAGAATTATATATATAGATATGTCGGAACCTAAATTTAGCAAGGAGACGTGGAACTTATTTATAGCCTAATCGTCTTTAAAGAAAAAAAAATTGTTTTTTTTTTTAAATTAGGATGCTCATATTGCAAAAATAATTACATATTATTTCAATTATATATTTCCCTTCGTTTAAATATTTAATAGTTTCAGTCTTGGAGGTAGCCTCAGCTAGAATAAAAATGATCAACGAATAGGAATAGGCGTAGCAAGGATCAGTTGGATAAAAAGAACACTTTTGGGTAAAAATAACACTTTAATAAAAATTGGCAAGTATTGCAGTTTTATAATGGGAATGTGAAATACATTTCAATAAATCGCCACTTACCTTACGATTAAATGCTACAATAATCACTCTAGTCTATCTTCAACCTCGTTGTTGCCTTACGTGTTTAGTCAATTATAAATAGGCGACCTTGACCTTTAAATATCCCCAGAAAACAACATTGGGAAAACCCCTCTTGTGTAATAAAAATGTATAATCATCATCTTTGATTGACTTAATAGTTCCGGAAATATTCTGAAAATTATAATAATATTTAAATTGGTGATAAAAATCTGGGTAAAGAATATAAAAGCTTAATATAATTATATAAGAACAGGTATAAAAATTTACTTTGGTTTGTTTATTTTTTTTTAAATACCAGTAGTAGGTAGACTTAGACACGAGATGACGGTGTATGAAATACTTAACTGCACTTGTAAAGAAAAACCAGCTATTTGTCCACTTTATTTTTCTTAATGTGTCAATTTAATTTAAAGACAGTAACATGGGCATCCGCAATGTAAAGGGTGAGGATGAGTAAGAGGATTCGACATAACCGTTTTTTCAATAGATTATAATGACACTTTTTGTGCTTTAACATCATTGGTTCAATATTGTTTTTTTTTTCCTAATAATTAATAGTTACATTGTAAATATTAGGTTTCCTTGATTCTTTCCCTTATCCTAAACAATGGTACATTCTGGGTTACCTTTCCTTCAAATAACAAAATTCCTCCATAGAGTGTAAATAATTGTATTTCTTCCAATATATATCTTATATTCTAATACGTTATTTGGATTATGTGAAACTAAATTGCAAAAAGCATGTATTACTAATTTTTATTAATTAGCTGTAAAAACTATTATAAACAGATATTTATTCCTTTGTATATTCTAATAGACTCAACCATAAGAATTTAACAGCAGAAGATACGTCGGGGGTAGAATGAGCTTAATCATTGTTATCTTTGCGCAGTGGCGGTACCATAGCCGATGAGGTTTTACCGAGGCGTGGTTATTGCTAGTTGAAAACTATTCCCAATACCCCGCACAGATGACCTTCACTGGTCGGCTCGTGCAATTTTTAACGGCTTCCTCTGGAGGCTTAACAATACAATGAAATGAATGGATCCTAAAGAAACTACTCAAAGTATGTTAAATATACGCAACATGAGCTTCGAACAATATAAATAGCTATTTTATAAACTAGTGTCAAGTTAATGTAGCCCTATTCCACACACGATATTTTAGGGACAATTCGCACACTATTTAACTATTTAAATTGACGCGTAGTACTACTAATTTAAGCATTCTTGTTACACAATCGACCTAATTTAAGTAAAGTAAGCTATTTAAAAATCTCGTATCAAGTAACGATTTTGCGTTGCATGTAGTCGAAGTAGCTATTTATGTAATAAAAAACACTAAATAGTTGTAACTACCATTTTAAGAAACTAGCCGGTGAATATAGAAATTAGCTAAGATGTAGTAAGCAACAGTAACAGGCACATTTCATCCTTGAATTTTATCATTTAGAGGGATCGGATACAATTGAAAACATCTCAAGTTCTCTAAATGAGAACTATTGTAATTTAATAATATTATAAATATTATAAATATAGTGGCCTAGAGGTAGAGAGCTAGGCTACTATCCTGAAAGTCCCATGTACGAATCCCAAGTCAGTAGAATATGTAAAATTCAAACTTGTTTAGGGGCCAATCATCTGTGAAGTCCACGAAAATTCTGAATTTAAGTCCCTCCCTTGTCGAGGTCGGAGATAGACTAGAGTGATTATTGTAGCTTTGAATCGTAAGTTAAGTGGCGATTTATTGAAATGTATTTCACATTCCCATTATTAAATTGCAATACTTGCCCTTGTCCACATACGTCAACTTTGAACTTACGCCCCGTAACCCCCAATTTCACGCCCCGTAACCCCCAATTTCAATGTACACACAAACGTAACAGTACTTTTTTAAATTACTTAAAATATACTAATTTTACAAGAAGCATTGTGTATGTGTACATCGTGATGCTAATGATTCCGTCATATGTAGAGATTTACTATCATCGTCAGTGTCAGAGTTTCTTCCAGGCATCTCTTCGGGGGGGGGGGGGGGGGGGGGGGCTTTGGAAAAAAAACTTCTACCGCCCCCCCCCCCCCCCCAACTAAAGGAAATTTATATAATTTATATAGAAAATATATACTTTAACAGTGTCCCGTCCCCCCCGAAGAAAGTCTACCGCCCCCCCCCGAAAATTGCAAGTGCCCCCCCCCCCCTCCCGGAGAAAATAGTTTGGAAGAAACACTGGACAGTGTCTGTTTTAAAATATTTGTATTTAGTGTACAATCTAGAGTTTGTTAGATAAAGAAAAAACATGGCATTAAGCATGAATAGCCATTATAACGAGAACATTTTATTTTAAGGGATTTATTTTTCTTAGTTTAACAAAAAAACTAATGAAGATATTGTCCATGCATGTTTTCTTGGTAGGGGTGGGGGGGGGGGGAGTTGTAAAATTATTATTTTCTCAGATCTGACGCAGCATCTGGGTAGTTCGTAACGCCAGGTTCGGTATCCTAAACGTTTCATTAACGAATGTTGACTACTAATTACATACTACAGAGCCACGAATGTCATTGGCCTACGTATTCAAACTATGAGTTTCTTACATGCTCAGTTTTTTATGTTGTTGTTGTTGATTTTTTTTTATGTTATTCATAACTAAACCCGAAAAGAGTCGTTAAACTGTAATGCATTTTACATGTTAGTTTTTTTTTATGTTTGTTGTGTGGGTAGTATTTTGATGTTAAATTGTAACATGTAGACTGCCACGTGGATCCATACCAATCCACCCCTCACCTCCCCCCCCTCGACTCTCAAGTCAACACGTGACCAAGAAATCTTACTACTTGGACTCACCGTCCTCGTCCTCCATCCCCTTCAGTTTGGATTTCATAAATCAACAATGTTACAAACCAAAAATAACGCTCATTTTTTTTTTTTTAAAGACAGACAATAATAATTTTCAATTACTTACATTATCTGCTGCACTTATTCTCTGTACATAATTTACGACCTTTGTTTTCAAAGCTTTCCTTATATATAACTCAATTGGAGAGTTCTATTGTATAGTGACTTAATCTTGTTTTTATCAAGCAATTTTAATTCTTAATTAATTAATAATTATAAATGCAAGATTTTATAAGTTTTCGAGATTTGTTCTTAGCATAAAGCGTAATTTGTTAGTATTGTTTTTTTTTATTTAAGGTACGAACATTTCACGCCTTAGAGTAAATATTTGTACTGACTTGTTTTCAAATATTAAAAACCATAAAAATTTAACAGCAGAAAATAGGTGGGGGGTAGATTGAGCCCATGAAAAGGTGGCTTTGCGCAGTGGCGGTACCATAGCCAATGAGGTTTTACCGAGGCGTGGTTATTGCTAGTTGAAAACTATTCCCAATACCCCGCACAGACGACCTTCACTGGTCGGCTCGTGCAATTTTTAACGGCTTCCCCTGGAGGCTTTGAAATACAATGAAAAGAATGGATCGCGATGAAATATCAGTAATCCATAGTTTGGAAATTTGACACCACCCCTCGTCCCCCGTGAAAGCAGCCGTCCGTGACGACAGTTTACAGATGACAATGAAGAGGCCAAGCAGAACTTCTAACGTCCCCTTAGTTTCCCCTTAGTGGGGTGAACCACAGCTCATATATATATATATATATATATATATATATATATATATATATATATATATATATATATATATATATATATATATATATATATATATAGCGAGGAGGAGGGCTAACTAGTCGGCTTGCATCGTCTTGCCTACATAGATATTAATTGACTACGAGGCAGGTTCAAAACTAATTGGTAGCCGCGCAGCTTAAAAGGAATATTGTTCTTAAGTTTTTTGGAATCAAATCTTATCATGTATCGGATAACTTAATTGGTGAATACGTTTCTCCTCATTTGGTGAAAGCCTATATAGTTTGGTCTATAGGTTGTAGCAAAATAACTATTCTAATAATAGTTCTAGGCTAGAGCTAGTGATAACAATTTTAATTGTATACTGGTATGTACTTCTTTATAATCTATAAAACATTTCATCAAAACACAGAGATGTAAAGACTGTAACTATAAATGTTATACTTACGATTCTTAGAGTACTAATAAAATTTTTAAAAATTTCGAATTTGAACTTTAACTAATTTTGCAGAGAAAGCATTTTATTAAGAATTAACAGGAAGAAATCAGGAGCCACTCTTTTCAGTTTACTGTAAAGCCTCCAGAGGAAGCCGTTAAAAATTGCACGAGCCGACCAATGAAGGTCGTCTGTGCGGGGTATTGGGAATAGTTTTCAACTAGCAATAACCACGCCTCGGTAAAACCTCATTGGCTATGGTACCGCCACTGCGCAAAGCTAACTAAATATGGGATTGATCTGGGTCCAGTCTATCGCCGGTTGCTAAAATTTCATGGTTTGGAAAATTTTGTATATTTAAAATCAAATAATTGTATTGAAAGATTATAAATATTCCTTATAAATAACGTAATATGCAAAAATTTAATTATTGAATTTTAATAGAATGTAGCATTTAATAAATTTATAATTAATTAGCTCAGCTGAGCTTAGGATAGATAATTTTAAGTAAATACGTGATCATTAATACAGTCCCTGTCTACATATACTATTCTCTACCTGGGAAAATGCGAGACACCACCACGTTAGGGCTTAGCCGATCCTACCCCGCTTTCTAGGCATATCGCTACCACCCCCACCAGTCCGGTGAGTGGTGGTTCACCCCAAATGTTTACAATAGTAGAGTCGGGTCGATTAGTGACGGCTATTAGGGGCAGATAATGTAGTTTTTAAACGATTTGAAACTTAGGGGAGGTAACTAAGAGTTGGTTGCTTTCCCTGGTGGAGGGGGGGGGGGGTGCGGGGGGGATGTGGAGGGTGGTGTTTATTGTCCTTCACGAGCTACTGATAGTGTTTTAAAGCAAATATTTTCAGTCGCAGCATCGGTAGTGTCGAATTCACAAATTATGAATAAATGAAAAGTAGAAAATAAAACAACTAAATAGCGGATCGGCTCGTATCCTTGTGTAAGACTTTCAGAACACCGCAAACACAAATTTACTTTCTCACTAGCTTGTTCCCAGTAAAGGGAACATTAGTTAAAAACAACAATAGTAATGTCATAGGGGTCGTCCATAAATGACGTCACCGTCGTAAGAGGGAGGGGGATCCGTAATTTTGTGACAGTGTGTGACGGTGTGTGATACGGGGGAGGAGGGGGGGGGTCAGATGATGTGATGTCACACCTTTGCATTATATAAAAGCAATGTTATTTAAAATACTTAAAAAAAACTTTTTAAAAAACCACGTTTTTCTTGTGGACTAAAAAGTAGAAAATAAATTTTTCTTCCGACCCTAGGGGATCTACCAATGACTGCTCGTAGATTTTGTGCTTCCTTGAGCTGTGCAGGTTCTTGTGATGACTGTTCATACATTTGATGACAAAAAAACGTGGGTACGTTTTCGCTTTAATCATAAATCTGCCCGACCCACGTTTTTTGTTAACCGTTTCAATAGATTGTCATAGGAATTGATTAAAATACTCTATGTTGATAGAGTTCAGACATGATTTTGGAAAAAACTAATATTTTTAAAAACAATCAAGATGAAACGTGAAGTCATTTTAGGGGGGTACGGGGGGGGGGGGGTCTGGCTTTTTGCGACGATGTGTGACGGAGGGGAGGTGTGGTGTGGAGGTAAAAATCGTCCAAAAAGCGTGACGTCATTTATGGATGACCCCAAAACCTCTATCACCAACATAAGTCCAACGTACCAATAGTTGTGTGGCTGGTGAGGCCTATAAATATTGAAGAGAGTAACTTGTATGTACACCAAGCATAAGTAAAGACGTAAGAAGACGACATTTAACCATAAAGAAAATATGTCGTTGGCCCTCAGTATTGCCAAACACGTGGATATAGAAAAACAAATTTTTATTCATGTAAATTCAAAATATGGAGTGTAAACATAGTTGTAAAAAAAATTACAATTGAAAATATCTAACCATCACTGTAAATATTAAATGACAAACGTGAACTATAACTAAAACAATTAACTTTTTCCAAAGTACGTTCAGGTGTTCATGGTTGTCATAGATACGGCCTCGTATTGAGATTTCTCATTATCCTCTTTATGTAATGTGTCGTAAGGTGTCGTGTCTTTACCGATGTAATCATAAGCATTCAATTCAACAGCGGGTGGTGCCGCATCCATTTCATTATAAACAGTCTGACTGCCTGAAACACACAATGAAACCATCATAATGCTAATCTAATTGATGTGATACGAGCTTTGTATATATTCAGAGTTTCTTCCGGTTCCTCCCCCCTCACAATAAAAGTCTAACCCCCCGCCCCAAATGAAATGGAATTTATTTAGAAAAAATATATAGTTTTACCAGTGCTCCCCCCTCCCCCTAGAAGCGTAGAGACACATTCCGGCACCCGGAGCAAACTCTCAAATTTGCGCCACATGGCTTTTAAATATTTTTTTACTCCGTTTGGCGCCCCCGCAGGGTCGGCGACCGGGGCGCCTGCTCCACCCCTACCCAAGTTACGCCTCTGTCACCTTCTCCGGAAAATGTAGTCCGCCCCCCCCCCCCCCATTCCAAAAATATTAAGTGCCGTCCCCCCTCTCCCCCCACCCATTCCCCCTGGAGAAAAAAAGTCTAAAAGAAACACTGCTAGTATTAAATTAATTGTATTAATTTTTGCAGTTCATGGCATACAAACTTTAGAAAAATTCAATAACATTTATTGAAAGTTATTCTGTGTAAACTGAATCATATTTACTTTCTCTGACGTTGCGGTTTCCTGTTTGCTCATCCCGGCTGTTCCCATTACTTGTAGCTGAACACGCTGTTCTACGTACAATACAGACCACTGCTAAGACTATAACGATGACAACACACATGGTTCCTATACCGATGCCGACGCCTTCTGCCAACCTATCGTGTGCTTATAGAATAACAAATGATTTGCATAATTACAATTTTAATTATTTTGTAAATTTCATATTATATCAAATTGTAATGTTTAATTTTTTTAAATGGAGTTTATCCGTCGATTCGTTATTTAAAAAAAAAAAATTACGTTTTCAGACCAGCCTGTCCATTGTGCCAAAGTTTTGTAACTCAGCTATAATATTATACTTTATCTCTTCGTCTCTACTTCATTTATTCAGCTCTACTTTATATGATATAGATACCATTTTCCACTCCTCTCCGTGTGTTGTGTAATGGAGTGTGTAGTGTTTGTGGTGTGTTGAAAGTGGTGTGTATGTGTCAGATGAGTTATTGGATGTGTAGGGTGAGTGTAGTGGTGTGAGATGATGGGTGTGGGTTTTGCTGTGTGAGACATTGAAATGTGGGTTGCGGTGGAGTGGTTTGGCTTAGTAAGGTGTGTGGTTCGTGGTTTCATGCGGGTATGTTATTATCCATTCTGTTTTTAGCTTTTAGCTCCTCATTTTAAATATGTGCAGTTCAAATTTATTTTACACGATTAAAAAATGAGATTTTTTATGCCTATTTTTTCTGTCATCCAAAAATTTAAATTTCACACCGTGACGAAGCAAGCGTATGCACCTTATATATATATATATATATATATATATATATATATATATATATATATATATATATATATATATATATATATATATATATATTGGGAAACAAGGTTTTCTGCCTATCCCAGATCTGCCGATAGTAATTTGTACATTAAGAAATAATAAGAACAGAGAAACTTACATGAAATGTAATGCCTATCATAAATTTACTTAACTCCAAGATTATTGATTGTAATCTCTCTGCTACTTACCCTCTTGACAAAACTGACCCCGGTAACCTTGGATACAGCTATGGCAGTGTCCGGTTGTCGCGTCACACGAAGAGCCGACACAGGTTGTTGAACAGTTGTTGACACAGTTTGGGCCGTAGTGATTGGTGTCGCACGCTAAATAATATTATGATTAGATTAGCCTGCTGTGACACACACAAGGTTTGTTTATTTGATGCAATTTAAAAATGTAATTGGTAAACCAATCAAAACAAAAACTGGCTATATAAAGATTTTTTTTTCTAATGCTAGTAAGTTACATTCAGTAAATTAACAGCATAATAAATCTATTGCATAAGATTCAATCTTTAAGTTTGCTGCGTGGATTATTAATATTTTTTCTGACACAAAAAGTTGAATTTTTACACTTGCAATTACAATTGTAATTATTAATGTTTAATGAAATATATAGATCTAGTACAACGATTTGAATAACAAATCTCTATACGATATATTGCTCTACTTTTGTAGCCATGACAGTATCTTACACATATTACAGAAATCTCCACGATATCCTGCACTACAGCTGTAGCAAGCTCCATGCGCTGAGTTACATTCAAAGTTCTGGCAGTTCTTCGAGCAGGTCTGGGCACAGAAAGCCCCATAATACTGGTTAGGGCATGCTGTAATAGGAAAAATATTCTTTACATTTGTTTTGGATGGATCAGATATAACCTTTATACTCTCAATTTATTTGTCTCGCTGACGACTAAATCCGGGTTCAAGTCAGTAGACCGTCCCTGAGTCCACTCAACTCTGATGGGTACCTATCCATGTAAGGGAAAGTAAAGGCGGCTGGGCATAGTGCTGACCACACTATCCCTTCATATGCCAAGGTCACAAAAACAAGTGAACTCTACTTCACTTGCTCTATAGACCGTCAGGTTTGAAAGGGAACTTTACTTTTACTGACGACTAAAGAACTAATGATTGAATGAAAACATAAAAAGTATATATACAATACGTTATTCAATATTATAATGGGGAAAATCTTAATTATTATCTATTGTGAAGAAATTTTAACTTATGTGTAAAAAGCAATGATTTAAAATTGTATTCACTTATATTACAGTAGCCGCCAAGATATCCAGCTATACAAGTGTTGCAGTGACCTGTAACTTTGTCACATTTTTGTTCTTTGCAATGTGGTGAGCATGTGCTGATACAGTTAGACCCATAGTGGCTGTCGTCACAAGCTTTAAAATACATGTGTTGGTACAGTTAGACCCATATTATCTGTCTCATAAGCTTTAAAATACATGTATAACATGTTATAAAAAATATGTTCGCTAAATTAAGTTTTGGTTTATTAAAGAATAAGAATTTTAAATTTCATTAATTTTCATATTAACACTAGGTTTTTTTTTTATACTTAAGTTAAGCAAAATTAGAAAAAAAATATTATGAGTATGCTATTTGGGTTTTTGAAAAAAAAGACATGTTGTATATATTATGTTTATTGTTCGCACAAATACAAAGTAAAAAAGATATTATCTTCTTCTTGAACATCTTGTGAGATTAGGCATACCACAACCTGACGTAGAACCAAGCATTTCGTACATGTTACTTGTTTGTTCTAGAAGGGCATTATCCTATACCCCGTACATAGCATAGCATCCCTCGTTTAAATGTAGTGGTAGTTCGGTCTGGGAACGACCTACTTTCTTGAGCGTAGTGATAGTTTTGTAAGGGGACGACCTACTTTCTTCAGCGTAATGATAGTTTTGTAAGGGGACGACCTACTTTGTTCAGCGTAATGATAGTTTTGTAAGGGGACGACCTACTTTGTTTAGCGTAATGATAGTTTTGTAAGGGGACGACCTACTTTGTTCAGCGTAATGATAGCTTTGTCAATGGCGACCTAATTTCTTCAGCGTAATGATAGTTTTGTAAGGGGACGACCTACTTTGTTCAGCGTAATGATAGTTTTGTAAGGGGACGACCTACTTTGTTTAGCGTAATGATAGTTTTGTAAGGGGACGACCTACTTTGTTCAGCGTAATGATAGCTTTGTCAATGGCGACCTAATTTCTTCAGCGTAATGATAGTTTTGTAAGGGGACGACCTACTTTCTTCAGCGTAATGATAGTTTTGTCAAGGGCGACCTACTGCTTCTAGTGCGAGCACTGAAACCTACTGGTCTGCAAACCGCCTGACTGTGGTTAGATCAAACGTTCTCTAATGATGGATTTAATATAAAACTAGCCGTTTCAGTTCAAACACCAATTTTTTTAAATTTTCTTATCGCTTATCAGAACTTACGTTTATTACAGAACTCTCCCTGATATCCCCATTTGCATCTGTTACATAGGCCACTTGTACCATTGCATTCAGAGTTTTCACAATTTAATGAGCAATTGTTCACACAGTTAGGTCCAAATGTTGTTTGTCGCATGCTTTAAATTTTAAATTGGTATTAATGAACATTAAATATATTCAAGCAATACGGAATGTACAGTAAACACAATAGAAAAATATTACTTGCGTTGTGTAAGTAATAACATCTGAAATCTTAAAGCTACAGAACCTTAGTACCTGAATAAGTTGTTTTTCGAAATGCAGAACCTTGCCAACATAAGAATACGTGGGAATTTAACATTTAATTAGCGTACACATGAAGTAAAGTTTCAATACAAACTGATGTTACAAAACTCCCCGCGATATCCTGCTGTACAGTTGAAGCAATGACCGTATGTTTTGTTACATTCGGAATTCGGACAATTCGTTGAACAGTTGTACATACAGTCAGACCCATATGTGTGGTTCTGACATTCTGGAAGTTGAAATTAAATCAAATTTTAAACGGTAAAAAATAGTTGATTTTTATGATAATTAAAGTTAATTAGAATATAGTGAAATTTAATTGCTCTGTTTTGAAAAAATTGAAACGATTTCAGCCAATACATCAAATCTATAATGTAGAACTGTAAACCAATGATATTAAAACTACAATGTCCATGCGTATATTTCGATAAAATAAAATTTAATCACGATCGTGGTCGCTGCTTTCTGCAATTTAATTTACTTTATATATTTGATTTCAGCTATTGTGCACTAAATGTTATCCCTACTCTACTTGTTTATAAACATATTTTGATTTACTTTATAACTACCAACCTCGCGTGCAACCTTCTCCGTGATAGCCTAATGCACAGCCGGACGCACACCCACCAGTGGCTACCAAACAATTTTCTTGTCCACTCATACAGTTACATGCACTCCTACATTCCAGTCCGAATGTTTGATTAAAGCACTGGTGGTCTGTGAATTAAGTGCATTTTGATATCTCGAAATAATAAATTTTATTTTAGTTAGAGGTACTTTCAGATCACAGTCTGAATTTTTTTTTTAAATAAGTACAATGGTAATCTAGAGAATAGGCTATTTTAACACGTTTTTCTTAACTCAGCTTCGCGTTTGTTTGTTTGGTTGTTTGGATGTTTGTTGTTAAAATTGACATCGAAAATTAGCCCACTTCTGATTGCTCTTGAGATCTGAAATTTGGCATACAGGCTACTTTCGCCTAACAAATTCAGATGCAATCATAAAAACTAGCAATTAGAGACCGTAATTAGCTTAATTTAATTACGCCCCAAGGACCATAAAATTGAGGACATGATTTCTAAAGATACCGACAAGACTGTAGGCTTATTGACACAGTTACTTCGGCCCCAATGCGCTGGCCGTGATCGTATAGTGGTTAGTACTTCGCGTTGTGGCCGCGACAACCCAGGTTCGAATCCTGGTCGCTCAAGATTTTTTTAGTCCGTGTATTTATAAACACTTAGTAAAGTCATACTTAATCAAGTCATTAGATAAAGTAGAAAATAAACTATATAAAAAACTTTTTTTAAAAACCACGTTTTTCATGTGTAGCAACGGACTAAAAAGGAGAAAATAAAATACTTAAAAAAACTTTTTAAAAAACCACGTTTTTCTTGTGGACTAAAAAGTAGAAAATAAATTTTTCTTTTGTGCTTCCTCGAGCTGTGCAAGTTCTTGTGATGACTGACAAAAAACGTGGGTCGGGCAGATGGGTCGGGAAATTTGATGGTGAACGTACCCACGTTTTTTGTCAGTCATCACAAGAACTTGCACAGCTCGAGGAAGCACAAAAGAAAAATTTATTTTCTACTTTTTAGTCCACAAGAAAAACGTGGTTTTTTAAAAAGTTTTTTTAAGTATTTTATTAGACACTTTTAATAAAAGATTACAGAAAATATTATATTGTTAAAGGTTAATTACAATCGCACTAATTACTCACCACCATATATTTCCACTTCACATAGAGTTAAATAGTTATTCACACTTATTTGTGTGTATGATGCTGCTATCACATTTGTACTAGTCACATCGTACAAGTACTGGGCTATGTAACCTGATGTATCTGTGTAGTTAAACAGTACTTCCCCATTTCTTCCCGTCGTATTCAGCTTGAAACCAGCAAGTCTGTCTTGATTGTACTCTGAGTGTACACAACATAAAACTTGTATCAAACCAGCCAAAATGAGCTAGGCTTCTATCCAGCCATTTATAGCCATGTTCAAATTTAAATAATAACTTAAACATGTGTATTTGAATTTAAAAACTTTAAACAGCAGTGCTACGCTTAAAGCAATAATGCCTACACTTGTATGTGATTCTAAAATTTAACTTAGACATCACTTAAATATTATTTTATCGATAAACGTTCTCATAAAAATCGCAACTTCATTTTTCTTAGAAGCAGATTTCCACTGCAAATACATTAAATAAAATATAAACTTGTATTATGAATTTGTAGAAAAATCCTTGTTAAACCTCTATTGTAAAGGACATATCTGTTGATGACCATAGGTGTTGTGAAAACAACTTTCCAATAGCTTGGTCTTTCATCTAACGTATGTGTACACGACTGTTGTTCAAAGACTTTACTTGTGATACCATCAACAGCTCTAGAGGAATCATATGTTCCTAGAGGATCTGTATAGTTACTTGACTGCCAAGTTGTTTGTTTCAAGGCAACGTTTCGACCTTGAGGAAAATAAATAAATTCATTTTCGAATAATTAATACAATCAACATTTTTTTTTAAACTAAATACTTTTTAAAGGTGAAATTCTTACCTCCATTAATATAAACTGAGCAAACATATTTAGTGGACTGAAAATCAAATATGATTTGTGTAGCTTTAGACACTGTATCACAAAATACATCTATTTCTGTGTCACTATTTTTATACTTTTTCAAATCCGAACATGCTATGTTGAGTTGAGTAATACTGTTTTTCATCTGGACGTTTAGATTATCTAGACTGTCTGAGTAAAGAATAATATAAACATTCAGTCTATCTTTCTATAAATAAATAAGGTTTTTGTCTATGTGCCGTTGATGAAAATAGTTTTGATTTTTTTAAAAAAAGGAATATATTGTCCATTACTCATACTTTTTGTCAAATGCAGTCGTCCCCGCATTCACACCACACCAAACCACACCAAACCACACCACACCACACCACACCATACTACTGGCTATATCCAGAAGCGTCACATAAAAATGTCGGAAAGAGGGGGTTACTCCAGACCTAATGTCGCCACTGCCTATATCACACATCCGTGACTTACCTGGGGTAGCCAAGAGTATCCTAAACCAAGTCAGTTGGTAATCAGTGCTCCAATTGAATTCAAAACTTGAAATATACGAACAAGTCGTGTCATCACCATCAGCTATTTTCGTATTGCTTGGTGTGATCGCTGCTTGTCTTGAGGCCAGATCCACTGTAAATAATAGCTTATAATATACTTTACAGGACGAAATTCTGAGGTTAAAGTAAATTTTACAGGAAGCTTCTAGTTAACGGTTGACTAGTTACAAATATAATTATATATATATATATATATATATATATATATATATATATATATATATATAGAGAGAGAGAGAGAGAGAGAGAGAGAGAGAGAGAGAGAGACAGAGAGACAGAGAGACAGAGAGAGAGAGGGATAGGATGTTATGGGAAAATGGAAAATAAATAATTTAATGACTGTGTGTCATATAAACTGTGTGTGTAGATACTGTTTATCATTATGGCCTTATGCAAACAAATAGAAATATGATATACGTTGTAGATCACGGAGTGTGTCAGTAAGTTAATAAACCTGAGCTACATGCAATAGAATAGCTTTTACAAAGTGCGACAATCATACTAAGATTTTCTAGTATTACGCATATTACTTTCTTGTTTTAAGTAATCATAAAAAGACCTTTAATCAACAGATGTTATACTTGGCACTAGCTCTACTTACAATACTGACACAGTGGTCCGAACCAACCAACCACACAACCTGTGCCAGCCACACACTGTCCTGTACCATCACACGCGTTACCCACACAGTGACATTTGTACTGACAGCTGGAGCCAAACCAGCCAGGGTCACATGCTGAAAGGTCACAATAATGTTATGATAGGTCATTTTGTACATTGTAATACCTGGACAATTTTTATATCCATGCAATAACTTAATAATGATTATAAAACAATATTTTGCAATTGTATATTACACAAACTACTCTAATTTCTCCTATGAATAGATAACATACATTACTAAAACAGTCTACCTGAAAGTATAACAATTTGATAGACATTAGCCATCAACAGCAAGTATATGTTATGTTTCATGATAGGAGTCGATTGACTGATATACCCACACATCCTTTAATACATTCAAGATTGAAAAACTTTGAGTATATATATATATATATATATATATATATATATATATATATATATATATATATATATATATATATATATATATATATATATATATACGTATATATATATATATATATATATATATATATATATATATATATATATATATATATATATACGTGTGTGTGTATTTAGAAATTTATTTATATATCATAATAGTATTAAATCCTAAAATGCCCAAATGCAACATTTACCTCGTTAAAGAATACAGTACACAATCTTATTTACCAGGATTCAAACACATATGTAATATTTACCAAATGTGAAGTGTAGCAGACTTATTTACTTCCTGCTAGTCGTGTAATATTCTTTCGCACTGGGTTATATATAGTTACAGTACCTTACCATTTTATTGATTGATCAAGTTGTTTACTTGAATGGATCAATAAAGAATGTTTTCAATGTGCATTCGTACAACATCCGGTGTATTTGTGAAATGAACCAAGAGCGAAGCCAACAGACCAAGCAGTGGTTCTTACACTGGGACATTCTCGTGTACCAATAACATTTGGTAATGCCACACCTGTAATGCTATGAGATCTGCTGGATTAACTTGTAAAAAGAGATGACAATGTGTTCCAGAGATGGCTAAACAAATACACCTGAATACCTTCCGGGTTTTTAATTTTACCCTTAACACACAGTTGGCTAACATAGCGAGTGTGTATGAAGGGAAGGACGGCAGGTGTGTAACAGAAGCGTATTTGCTGTTAGACCAGGTGGTTCTTTTTTACAGTTACCATGTAGAAGTCTAGTTTTTGTAACAGAAAAATTGCTTTTTTTTCGAATTTTCAAAGTTTTTTTTTTATGGTGATACCGTTAAATTTAGCATTTATTTTTAAGATTTATAACCATACCAAATTATGAAAATTAAAAAAATAAATTTCTAGAGTGTTTTCTGTTACAAAAACTAGCCAGCTGACTCTATTAGCGTTAGTTAAATAAGTATAAATAATTATATGAAGCCTCGAACGTGGAAAGATGATGATTTAAAATAGAATATTTAAAATCGAAAACTTGTTTAGGGGTCAATCATTTATAAAGTCCCACCCCCACCATTCTATATCTTGACGAAAAGCTTTGTGTAGATTCGATATCAAAGAAGTGTACATGACTCTGTTATCAGCTCCGGTATCAAGGCACATAAAAAAACAAAAAAAAATTATTCACCGTCAATTTTACTGGATCGCACTCCTATTTATAACACAATTACAGTTTTATTTAATTTAATTACTTAGAAACTGTAAAAATAAAAATGTATTATGTCACCTTTTAAAAAACTCCAATTTTTTAGCCTGATGGTCCATGGAGCAAATAAAGTTCACCTGTTTCTGTGACATCTGTATATTAAAGGATAATGTGTTCAGCACTATGCGCAGCAATTTTACTTTACCAAACGTGAGTTTGTCACCCATCTGAACTGGGCGGACTCAGGGACGTTCTACTTGACTTCGAACACGCGACTTTCAAGTTAGCAGTTTAGTGGTCTAACGCTAGGCAGCGCCGTCCAATTATGTGTGTGTGTGTCCGTGTGTGTTTTGTGTGTGTGTTTGTGGGGGGGGGTGAGTGTGTGTGTGTGCGTGTGCGTGCGTGTGTGTGTGTGTGCGTGTGCGTGCGTGTGTGTGTGTGTGTGTGCGTGCGTGCGTGCGTGCGTGCGTTCGTGCGTGCGTGCGTGCGTGCGTGCGTGCGTGCATGCGTGCGTGCGTGCGTGTGTGTGTGTGTGTGTGTGTGTGGCAAGATGATTTAAAAACAAAGAACCAACACTCGATGTACTGATAAAATATTGATCTTTCAAACTTTATTTTGAAATTGTGTGCTATTTGTAAATCAAATGAATTAAATAATCAGCAATAAAAATCATTTTTGATATGTAAACATTTTATACCTTTTCTGTCCATGAAATGTTAAGCCTTTAAACTGAGCAAGACAGCTAAGTGCCTAACATAACATAAATTACAATAACATTTTTTCCTGTCTTCCGACATGCTTTGTAGCTAGTATAACTAAAATCGTATATATATATATATATATATATATATATATATATATATATATATATATATATATATATATATTGTCACGCAAGCCCTTTACCTGGTACTTTAGATATAACAAGGGCGGTAATCAAATATAATGAGCAACAGCCAATAAACACATATAGTGTCATATAGTGACCAGTGTTTTTTTTAAAGTTTAATGCCAGCTAAAGATACAGCATCAACTATTTACCGTCACCATATTAAATACAAAGAACACAATAAAGAACACACCATAATAACGAACTAAACGCCATCAAACGTACTACAGCTACATTTTCCCTTGTATACTATATAGTGTCTAAGTTAATATGCACCATGTCATCAACATCTGTTGACCAGATTCGCCTCGCACGGTCTGTGGTTAACCCCGCATTATTTATCACCAGTGTTTCTTCCAAATTTTTTTCTCCGGGGGGGGGGGGGGGGGGGCACTTGATATTTTCGGGGAGCGGACGGTAGAGGGGGGCGGACATTTTCGTGGGGGGGGGACACTGGTTAAAGTATGTTCTCTACATAAATTCCATTTCGTTCGGGGGGGGGGGGGGGGTAGACTTGCCTGG